TATACTCGTTTAAGGTACTCATGTTTTCACCATTAGAGCTTAAATGTAACTTAATTGTTTCAGGCAGTACTACTTTGGGTGGTTTTTTAAATTTATTTAGAAAAATAAGCAGTGAAAAGGAGCTTAGGTGGTCATGAGCTATGTATGCTTTTATAAGAAGCATTACTAATAGACATAGCAACGATTTCCACCAAAACTATGATACTCTATCACATCAGTATCAACTGAAATAGCCTGCCCAGTTACACTAGGTATAGCTAACTAGCTTAAGACTGAACCTCTGTATTATCTCAACCAATATTATTACATGTACAAACTCCGCTATTCTGTAAATGTCAAATGAGCCCATTCTCTATTGATGCCAGCTCTTTCTCCCTCCCTTTATGTATCACACACCTTATATGAAACGGAAGTTGAGAACACTACAAATCAAATGCATGACTTCCCACTAATCTCAGTGGGAGTTTATAAAACCCATTAAATGCAGGATGGTTTCCCCAAGAAAAAAAAAATATGCAAGATCCTATTTCTCAAGGTTAGCAGTCTAATAAAGATCTGTGGGTTTTAACAATTTAAGGCTTCACCACAGTTGAAAGTTTTTTCTTCTATGATTATACTGCTATATTTTTATATTACCATTATTATTATATATACACATTTACACACACTCCTTCGTTTAAATACTTTATTCAACTATACATATATACTTCCACTAATATAAAATGCTGTTTATACTCTTTGTTTTAAAATAAGAATATTCACATGGGGAATTACTCCAGTACAGAAAAGGCAGTAAAATTATATAGTTACAGATTGTTCAATATATCTCCAGGTATGCATAAACTCATTTAGAAGACTTTTGCTCTGGCACAGAAACCTCATTCTTTCTTACTCCTCTAGTACTGAATTTAAACCATACCAGAGCTTTAACTTGTACTCCAAGTACCCTAAAAACAAGCCACCAAGCCATTCTGGTGAGACCAGAGGAAAGCTAATGAACTCCTCCAAAAGGCTCAGCCTGCAGCAGCTCAGGCCACAGGCAGTTCATCTCCTCAGAACTCCCTCATCCGCACCAGCTGCGCCTGTCGAAATGGCCATTTTCCACAACAGATACGCAAAGTTTATTTCACTCTCCTCTTTTTTTTTTTCTCTGAAAGTAAATGGAGTGTTTACTCAAATAAGAGATTTTTTTCCCTCTGGTTAAAACCTAAGAAAGTAATTTTCCATTTGGATTTGTCCTATTTTCTTCTCAGCTCCTTTCCATTGGTCTGAGGAAAAAACGAGACGAGAAGGTTCCACAAAACTGAGCCATAGTAATTTCTGTTATATTAAAATGGTTTAAAGACCCACTGTGGCAAACTGCAGTAAAGCTACAGAACTAAAAGCAGAAAGAAAAAAAAAACTTATGAAAAAAGAGGGAACACCCTACGCAAACAATGAATATACCTGATGAATTCAATTATCTTCTAAGTTTAGCCATTTTTACTTTTTTTCCTACTGTTTCCTTACAATAGTAAAAATTTCTCTATCTTTTCTACTTTAAGGCTTCAGCTTCAGAGGATGAAGCCTTCTGCAGCTTAAAGAATACCTGCCCTGGGCTGCCAGCTCCTCCTGCGTGTGCCCGTCCTACTGCTGCTCACCGGCATTGTTGGCACCAATATGACCGCAGCCTCATACAGAACATCTCAAGGGTCTAAACAGCCTTACGAGCTTTTTCTTTAAAACCTTCTACTACTTGGCAGCACTACACTGAAGGAGCCAGAGGCATTTGCCTCTTGAGTCACAATTCCCGACAAAAAATGAGAGAGTACAAAGACTTTCAGAAGAATAATAATCATTAAGAAGCAAAGGCAGGCACATCATAATTGTTATTATTTTGCAGCTGCCCTTTAAAGCAGGAAACTAAAGTGATGCAGTTAATTAAAACTAACTGAAAGTAAACATGACCTCGCATTGAAATACAAACAATTTATAACATTTTCAGAAAATAAGTAAACCTGAGGGTGGGAACGCTGCCTCAAGATGACAAAAAACTTTAACATGAGATCCCTTTATCCAAAATAATTGTACAGTAAAAATTGTCTTTAGAACACCTGTTCAAACATTAATTAGTAGAGAAATAAAGTACAAAGACTGGACAAACTGATTCAAAATTCATACTCTACCAGAGCCTAAGTAACTGACAAAACTGCTGTCACAGCCAGCCCAAGCAAAGGGAGCTTTAATACACTGTTATTTACCTGATAGTACACTTAAACGGATTCACTAAGTGCTGGTGTAAAAATACACATAAAGATGATAAAAGAGACCTGAACCCCTGCTGACTGAACACCGTCATGTGAAAGGCACAAAATGAAAGTGGGAGAAAAAGCGCAGGACACGTGTCTCCCGAATAGGCAGCATAATGCCAGCAGTGCCTTAACCACCAGGTTTACACTGGCGATACTCCACAGACTCTCCACTTACTCTGTGTGAGAGTCAAGCCCAAAGGATACTGGAACCAGAAATGGCTCAGTATATGCCAAGAATCCAGTTCTCACCTCTGCACGTGAAGATGCGCATTCATAAAGAAATTACTTTTAAAAAAATTATTTCCTTTAGGGAAGAACATTGTCCTTAAGCTGCACCCAGCCACTGATTTATGGTATGCAGCAGGGCTTCATAGCAATATATTGCCCTGCTATTCCAATACATGTCGTAACACTCAGTTCCTGTGTTGCTTTACTCATGTTTCATCACCCCATGATTTTTCAAATAAATTTTTCACGAGAGTAGAATAAAACCTCCTCAAACTCCCTCTTAAAAAAATAAAAAAAAATAAAAAATGCACGCATGACTTTAAGATGGCAAAAAGAAAAGCAGACTGTAAACCCAAATCAAATCAAACAATCCTGGCAGCTGCAGCAATGTGGCACTAGCAAAGGTACAATAGAGTAAAAAGATCACAGTTTCTGTGTTAATACTGTTTTTACCAATTTTCTGTTCATGTTTTTTGCTTGATGACATCCTCTTTCAGAAATATGCACACTTCCACTACAAAACATTGGGAAGACAAATAAGGACCCCCTCTGACGCTACCACACAACCCAGTCCCTCCTCCCCAGAAATAATACTACAGTTCTTACCGTCACACAAACCCATAGCCACGGCTGTATCTTCACTTCCTTGCTTTCCTCTACCCACAATTCTAGACACCTGGTAGGATCCTGTCATTTTTACCTCAACAGGTTTTCTAAAACCCATCATTCTCTATCTAGACCCACACCTGAACTAACCTCCTGCACAGCAATGTTGTTTTCTTTGCTTCCATTGTAAATCTGAGACTAATCCCCTTCTAATTTTTCATCTTCCTTTTGGTATGCCATACCCTTCCTTGAAGCCAAATTACTGTTTTTAAGAAAGCTACAGTATTTCAGTTAAAAATCCTTTAAAACACTGTCACTATATAGTAGGTTATAGCTTCAGTATTTATTTCAATTATATAATTTAAATAAGTAAAATATATTTTAAGACATCTGTCAAATCACTATTGCTTACGAGATATACAAATTATTAAGGAAGTTGCTGTATAAATGTTTGTGAGTTTTTGAAACACAGCACAAGTACAACGTTGAATGCCACACTTAGTTGGTCCTAAAATCAGTCCCCACTGAAATCGGTATCAGTAAGAAGGGGCTCATTAACACTTTAAAACTAAAAACTAAATTTCTAATTTATTTTACTTGTTCTGAATTCATTCTCTACATAGAATTTGTACTTTAGTCTGGAGTGCAAAACACGCAATGGAACTTTGCTGACATAAGGTGTGAAAAGTGAATCAAGAAATATAAATATTTCTAAAAGAAGAGTTAAGGCATCATTGTAGTAATGAATCAGATGCAATTAAAGAAAACTTCTTCCACCTTGAAAAGTCACATGCACGACAGACACTTCAGCATCCTTCCTAAAGTTGCCTTTAGAAGATTGTAACCACGTGAAATCCTATTAGGAGGTGCTGAACCCCTACATTGTAACTCTTCCGGCAGGCTTCTACATAACAAAAATGTAACGAAGTTCCATACAACTTTTTCCCCCCTTATTATGCAAAATCCTTATCAAATTCAACAGTGTGACACCGTTCAAAACCCTGACTAACAATGGCACGCAGGAGGTCAAGAGATGCCGCCTTTGTTTTAGTTTCGCGTGCTTTTCAGTCTATTAATGTTAAAAGGAAAAAAGAACCTTCACAGAAATAACCGATAAAGATCAAACCGAACTAAACAATGGGAAGGAAATTCAGAGTTAAAGCTGGTACTTAGCTCTTACCGCGAACCATTGTGCCCAGGCTCTGGGCAGCAGAACGATCCTGCGGGTCAGAGGACACCCGGGAATGACAAGGTGAGGTAAGAAGCCCTCAGCTCCCCACCTCCCACCTTTCTGTTGGCTTGAGGTCGGGCCAGGGACGTCGTTTTAACGCCGTTTTTTGTATTTTTCGGAGGGAACTGCCGGGCAGCCCCCGACTCCTTTGTGCTGCGGGTTGCGAGTGGGAACGCGGCACACGCTCCACTCGCAACCAGGAGGACAAAGGATTCGGTGATCGCGGGGCGGGGGGGCCGAAGAGAGGGGACGGACACAATTAGTCCCAATTAGGCCTATTTCGCAGCTGAGTGTAAGGGCTGGGGGAAGGGAGCTTGAATTTTAAAGCAACGGGTCCCTCAGGCGAGTTACAGTGACATCAGTAAAGCGACAAGTTTCAGCAAATGTGCCCTGTTCGCCATCGCTGGGGCAAGTGCCACCAAGTCGGTGGGACCGCACCTCAGACAGGAGGAGTCACCTCCAGGAGATGCTGGAGCAGCGTTTTTCTCCAACACACCACGTTAAGAAATCCGATAACCGTTTTGCCTATTATAAGCTAATGCACCTAACCAATTTTTTCCAGTTTTCCACCCGTTCCTTCAGCAGCACTTCTCAGTTTCAACGCACACGCACACACACGCAAAGGAAACGTCAGGAATACTCACATGTGCACGTGCGGAGGCTGGAACCTGCTCTGGTTGATGTTGTAGTGCGTAAACGCCTGCGTTGGATTGGAGCTGTATTCATCCACCGTTATGGTAACTTTGCCTTGTGAAGGAATTCCATGAGCCATCCTTCCTCCTTATTGACATGAGCAGCTCACAACTTCCCAAGGCTAGGAGCGGGGTAGGGCATTGTGTTCCAGGCGGCTCCTGACTCCAAGCAGCTCCTCATCAACTCCACAGATCTCTGCCAGGAGAAAAAGACAGCACACGCTGCTATGAACTTAAAGGAGACGCAGACAAACATATGCAGACATATTACTCTATCTTCTCCTGATTTCCATTCGAAGATCTTTTCCTGTATTTTTAATGTATTCGTCACCCAACTCTCTAAGCATTAACTATTCACATTTTTTTTCCATTACCTCATCATTTAACTCCACCATCATTAAATACATCCACAGGATGAATGCTGAAAATAAGGCTTTATCTTTGGGCGTGTGGTGGGGGGGAAATTAAAATCTATGTTGAAAGTTCCAGTTACATACTCCACATTTACTGTTCTTTATTTTAAATAACATCTCGTGCTAACTGCAAGCATGAAAATTAACAAGTGGACCCAGTTTCCTGAAATGGCTTTCCACAAATACGCACGCTTGCTTTCAAGGCCCTGTTTCTGCTTTACAAAATAAGTTACATCTGAGAGACTTATGAGAAGCTGATTCAAAGCAGAAAATTTTACAATTGCAGAGCAAAAGGTGCACCCAGATACCCTTGAATCAAAGTGTTTCTCTGTCCAGAGAAAGGCTCGTATCTAGACAACATTAACTAAATATCCATGTTATAGCAATGAAACTGGTTTGGATTCATCACCCAACAGTGATGATTTATCTGACAGATTTAAGTGCGACTTTATGCATAAATATTTCTGCATAAGATTAAAGAAATATGCTCTTCCCTCTCTATGCATCCCTATCTTTCACTTATTCAAAGTGCTCTTAAACGCATTTCACATTAAGACTGGAAGCATTCTATAATATCAGTGTAAGCCCAATAGCCAGAAACTTCCCAAACCTCTTCTCTGTTGAGTTCCCTGCACAGAATCTCAGCTTCAGTTTCTTCAATCAATAAACTGAGGATACTCAGCTGCCTTCTTTTCAGAGGGACTTTGTGAAAATTGATCAGCTGATGTTCGAAGAATACTTTCAAGATGATCAACTCTTTAAAAGCCCTGTTCATGGGTAGATGCTCAGTTGGGGCACGCTATCCTAGCTGCAAGGACTTACACGAAATCATGACACTCTGCATCAGTTGATTCCCCCTCTTAGTTGCTGTATGCAATAGAGGATTTTTTGTATCTCGTGTGTAATTTACAAAAGTAAATCAGTGCTTACTGGGAAGACAAAGAGATAGGAAAGAGAAGAGAGTGACTTGAGCCTTAGGCATCAGACTAAGCAGTATTTCTTCAGTGTGATGTTCCCGGACTTCTCTTAGGTCCCAGAGAGAAATGTGTTTGCCATGTGTAACGTTAAAACGTTTGGAATCTTTGATTTGTATTCAAAATATATTTTTAATACAAAGACTAATTTCCAGTTTGGCATGAAGCACGATAAAAATGCCCTGCAAATGGCAGATGGCCTGCTATAGGCCATTTATTTTAGTATTTTACAACCTCAGGCCTATGTAGGCTTCCATATGTTAGTTGGGTTAAGACATTCTGCAACCTTCATTCCAGTAATTGAGTTCTATCCTTCATCTTCTTTATTATTGGAGGAGGAAAAAAATAAAGATGAAACTAAACCATGAAGTTTCCATTTAAAAACTGAGTCACTAGTGAGACAGTACATCTCTATAACTAAGGCTATGGTCTGGTCTTTGCACTAACCCCCTCTCCTAAGAATAAGCGAAATAGTTTCAGGGGTAAAAATCAGCAAGGGGAGCTTGATTAAACCAAGTCTTTGCTGCGTTAGCCACGATGCAAGATGCGTGCAACAACTGCTCTCGAATCGTAATGTAGTGGTTACCATACCAAGTTTGCAGCTGTTTCCTTAATTTCCTTTACAATTATATTTTAGTGTTATTTTGCATAACAGTAAAACACAACACCTGCTTCAAATTGCAGTCCTGTTCCAAGTACTGTAATTCTTTTGAGATAGAAACTACGGAAGAGTGTGCAACACAGAGCAGCATAATTGCCCTGCACAGAAAAGTAAATACAAATGAAAACATCTTCCTGTTAGAGAAATGACTGTCATTAACAAGAACGCTAGCCATCAAAGCTCCCAGGAAAAAAACCCAAGTTTTTCTTTTACACAGCAAGAACTTTAGCGTCTGCATAAATTAAGAAGCAGTGTGAAAATTACACGTGTAATGTTATTTTTTTGCAATTAAAAGCTACAATATAAACCAACACGCTAAGCTAACAACAAAAATATGCTTGGGCTTTCAGAAAAGCTAAATCACGCTATTTTCAGTAATCTAGCACCAGAAAGGTCAGAACATTAGATTTCATATTATAGTTCACTCATGGAAAAAAAATCCAATTTGTTCATGAGGGTAAATTATATATAAAGATAATAAGCATTTTTTACAAGGTTTATAACAATCCATGTTACAGAAAGAAATTACAACTAACTGGCATAAAACAAACGATAAGAGGATACTTGAATAGCTGTATTAAATACTTTAAAGTTGACTTTCAGTAAGATTATAAATATATACGCTGCAATTGCTTCCCATTGTTCCAATCTTTAATCTTAAGAATACATATCTGTACTTAAATTAAGACAAAGCTGAACAAAGCATCCTTTTAAAATGAAATTCAACAACAATTGCCAGACTAGGAAACAAGTAACATTCGAAGCTGGCTTTTGCGTCAATTGTCTAATTTCCATTTAGTCCTCCACAGACCACTACAGCTCACCTACCAGAATTACCTAATTATTACCTTCTTTACTGTGAACTTCTCAGAAGAAAATATCAAAAAGGAGATGAACGCTTCAAAACTTTAAAAGCATTTATTTTAGGCCCAAGATTAAAAAAGAATTTTAAAAGGCTACTTTGAATCACTACCGGTCTTCTTTCTCCAACTGCAACCACTCTTTGAAGATTACATACAGGAGAGGAGCACAAAAGAATAAAAGTTGCATTATTTTTCACATCTGTCAAGTAAAACAATGTGCAATATCTTCCACGCCTTATGTGGCAGTTTTAAGTAAGAATGACTATATTAAAAACCTACATGAAGATTTTTTTTTTTTCCAGCATGTTGCCTTTTCCCAAACATAGCTGTTATCCTGGGAGCAACAAACCTTTTCCAGCGTGGATTCGTACCGACAGTGAGACAGGAGATGTGCCATTGTATACATCTGCTCAGTTTTACAGGTATAAACCGGCACTATTTCATAAAAGACCTGACACAAACTTATGCGCAGCCAATTTTAAATCAGTAATACTACTGCCGTGTCAAAAAAACTATCACAAAATACGCACAGATAAGTCATTTTAAGACGTAACGTTACATTTCACGGAGAGCTACACACACGAGCTCTACGTACGCACATACAGGCACGCGAAAAATGCATTTCCCTCAAATGAAATATTTACGCCTTCCTCATCTGAATTTCAGAAATTTGCCTTCTGGCTGGTCTCGCGTTGTAAAAGACAATATCGAAAGGCAGGAGACGGAAAGGGTTAATTCCGTGTCAACACCTTCTGTTGATACATCCACTAT